CAGCGCCAGGCGGGACTGTGGCGGGGAGCTGCCGGCGCGGCGAGGAGTGGGGCGGGGCGAGGACTTTTGCATAGGTTGTTGAAGAAAACATATTCTGGATGTGTGACTTTTTTACTGTGCATGACCTAAATTATGTATTGGATCTCTATTTTGGATCCGTGCTGTTGGGGATAGCCTTATGTCCGCTAGGCTAGGTGTCATGTTATTTGAGGAACGGAAATCGTCAAGACGGGTACACTGTAACACGAAGTTCCAGCTACGTTTTCCACCACGAACACGCGTCCTCTGGTTGCGACAGGCTACATTTCTTTGATCACTTTCAGAAAGTCAGAATTCGTAGAAGTTTCGTGAAGGATATCAGACACTTCGCCTACAGTAGCGAGAGAGAAAATGTTGAGCAGCTATGGTCGGTGGTCACGGTCCAACAGTGCGACGCACGAAGTCCCGGTCACAGTCCACCGCGACGCTAAGGCGTGCGGGCGAAGCACAGTTGAACAACGTTTCTTCCTTGGGGACGTCATGCCCAGGCCGGCAGGCCGACCTTATCGTACAGTAGATTCGTAGTCAGTTGCCGTTCTTCTGCGGATGGGCGGAGAGACATGCGCCCGCCCCCAGCCAGCCCAGCGAAACTACGCCAATATGTTGTGCCATTAGCTACGGTCTCTTGAGAGACTGGGCCTTGAATGATGTCTGGTGGGCTGGAGGGGTTTAGGGCTTGGATCTTGTCCGGTGGCATGGGTTCGCAAAAGGCCCGCGAAAGGAATGCAAATACTGGTTTTAAGTTTAACTCAACTTCACAGTAGCTGCATGCGCCACGGGCACCGGCACGCGTACGCGCTACAGCGGCGAAGGACCCACCGATGAGGCGTGAGCGTGACACGCGCACGCGCGCCGGAAGTAGACCTGAAATCAGTGAGCAAGCAGGAGGCCTGGGCCGGGGATCAGTGGTCACGTCACGGGGGCAGCCGGGCAGAAGCCTCATGATTCATGGGCACGCAGGTGCAGGGAGCGACGCTCCGACATAAATCACGTCGCTGGATCACACCACACCTCGAACTCCACAGAAATCACGGCGCCCACACGTCGCGTCAAGGAAAGCACGCACGCAGGGCGCGGCAGTAGTGCTAGCCGGCGGCTTGGTTTCATTTGCTCTCTCGCTCGGGCCGGCCGAACCGGATATAAAACTCCTACTAATCGGCAGTCCGGGCGCGCCGTGCAGGCAGCAGCTACCTTCTCTCTCGGCTCTCGACCTCGTTGTTTGGGCCGCCGCCAGGCCGGGAGCGTACGTACGTGTTCGTCCAGGGAGACAACAAAAGCAGAAAGCACGCTCTCTGATCACTCGACGGATGCATGGGTTGATCCACCGGCCGGTCCGGCGGGGTATATAGGACTTGGAAGAGCTTGATTTTGGCACGTTTCGGACTAGACTGCATTGCAGGTTGGACATGTACACCATTGCAATAACTAGGACCACATGGAGTATGGAGTATTGTTATATTCCAAGAGCATCTGAACAGATTATCTATTAATTCCTCATCTCCTAATAAAAGTCTATATATATAGGTGATCTTTTATTATTATTGGTGATCGTAGCTTTTTCTTCACTTCCTCCAACAGATTACCAATATCATTTAAAGTAGATATGGAAGAGAGGGGTGGATTTTGAGTAATTATTTAAAACTTATAGATATTATTAGATATATGATGAGTAGTATGTTGGAACAACCACGATCTCTTATATTGCGTTTAATTGGTATTGTGGATGGGAGTAATTATCAGAGATGCTCTAAGCATATCAAGGCAAGAATAACACCTACTTCTAAATCTAACCCATCCGTAATTGGTTCAGGATAAGAAAAACATCCAAACACATGCAACCACAATATTGAAAAATGTTAGCTTGTCATGATTAAGTACAAAATCTTTCTCCTTTTTTTTTGGGATCTATACTTAGTATCAAACAACATTGATAAGAAAGTAAAATTCTACTTTGTATACATGGTTAGATTACAAATTAAAGACACTTGAAAAATAGCCCAAAAATGTGTCTCTTATTTCTCAAGACATTATTCGCAAGCAAGGGGCCAAGAAAGGCTTTTGAACTCAAAGACTCTACCTAGATATTGGAATAATTAAAATAGCATCTATCTTGTAGGATCAAAGAATTGTTCCATCATGTCAAAAACCACCCTGTTTTTTACAACGCTTGAACACTATTTTCCTTTTCCTAGATAGCCTCCTAACATTAAAAAAACAAATGAGATGGTGTGCTTGTGTTGCTATTTATATTATTTGTGGCTTGCCACCTTATCAATAAAAATCATGTGGCAACAGGGTTACTCTTACTCCAAATGAAGACCACATAAAATATTTTCATTAACAGTTCTTCCGAACATAAATTCTAAACACATATATAATATATTATAAAAAGAAGGACAAAAATTCATCTTTTTTCCTCTACACAAAGTAAAAGTATATATACTTGTCTCATAGATGATATATTTCAGAATTTACTGCATAAATTACTCCAATAGGTGAAACCTAATTCTATTTTCCTCCATTTATGTTGACGAAATTTTTTAACAAATTTAATTCTTGAAGTGGAAAATACTCTGTGAGCGTAGGGTGGGGGAGTACTCACCCTCGCTTTTATAGATAATTTATGTACTACTGAACTAAACAATATAGTTCATTTGTGGATTTATTAGTTAAAACTTTCCATTTCAATGTTGATTTCCCAAGGGAACAGTGCATAGATCTAATCATGTTATTATTTTGCAGGTCACTTTTTGATTGACATAGGGAAACATAATTGTTATTCCTAAGTTAGTCTTCAAATTGTACATTTCCAAAAGAAGTCTTAACTAGTCTTAAACAGTGTAGTCCATTTGTGAATTTAATTTGATTTTCCTTCTGAGTTTTGTTCCCAAGGGGACAGTGCATCGTCAACCAAACAAGTCAAATTTAAAATAATTACCTAGGTTATTATTTTGCAATCTCTTTTTTCATTTAGAAGTGTAGAAGGGATTTGCTAAAATTCAGGTGCCTGAATTTTAACTTCCTCTCAGGCGACGGTTATTGCATATATTTTGCACTAAAATTGCACTTTTGATTCATTGCAATTTCTGTAGCCACAATCTGCAATTTTCGGTTCCGAGATTAAAAAACCCACACTACTACACAAAATCTTTTGCGCAGCGTTTGCAAATAGGTCTCGGAGATGGACAGGCTTTTAAACCGCCTCGGTTAATGCTTGAATTAACCAAGGCAGTCATTTTTTATTAACTGAGGTGGGCCTTATAAGAGGGCCATCAGGGAAAATGGCCTGATTTTTCCAGGCGGGCCTCCGGTTAATATGGCCAAGCCCACTCCAATTCAGAAAAGCCCATCTCGACTCGTTTATCCTTCGGAGTATATATATGGGACTCTAGGGTTTCACAACTCATTCTCACTGACTTCTCCCAACTGAGCCGTCTCTCCAGCCCGACACCCTCTCTCCAGCGGCATAGGCGGCGCTCCCTCCCCAGCGGCGCACCCTCCCCTAGCGCGCCCGCTTCCCCTCCTCCCTCCCTCCCGCCTCCCCTCCTCCCTCTCTCCCTCCCTCCCTCCCTCATCGCATGGCATGGCGCCCCTCTCACCCACGCAGCGGTGTAGTAGGCCGACGCGCGCGCCTCACCTCCTCCCCGTCGCACGGCCTGGCGGTGCCCTCCTCCCCCACACAACGACGCAGTGGGCCGGCGGTGTCGCTCCTCCCGGTGGTGGAGCGGCCGGATCCGGCGGCGGTGCTCCTCCTGGTGGCGGATCCGGCGGTGGAGCGGCCAGATCCGGCGGCGGCGCTCCTCCTGGCGGCACGGATCCAGGGCTGGGCGGCCCCCATCCGCGGCGACGCGCAAGGTCGCCCACACCCGCGGCGGATCTGCGTGGTGGCAATCTTGGCTTTCGGACGCGCGACGGCTGTGGTAGCCATGGCATCTTGACGGCGCGGACGCTTGAGCGGTGGTCACGGCTCCCGGCGGTGGCGGCGCATGTGGCGGCGGCGGATCGAGATTAGAAGTTTGGATCTATGCTTTTTCTTTTTTTTGATTAACCAAGGCGGGCAGGCAACCGCCTCTATTAAGGCCACGATGAACCGTGACCTTTCAACCGAGGCGGTTAACCGCCTCGGTTAACCCAAAATGCCCGCCACGGTTAAAATTCCTGTAGCAGTGCTATCAGACAAAACCACGGACCCGACAAAATCTGATTTGTGTTGGCACAATGACAATTAACAAGTTACAATTATTTCTATAGTCACACAAGGACAAAAAATTGATATGTTATGACACAAAGATAAGTAAAAAATCACAAAGTAATAATTTACTTGTACTAGTTGGTGGAATAAGAGTGTTGCCTGAAATTATCTTAAAATTTAGGCACCTGAAATATAGGAGAAGTGTAGAAGTATTGTTCCTGTTAATATGGTGACTACTATTTTGAATTGTCCGGACAATAGTGACTGCAAGTTGACAACTACATTAATTAACCGCAAATCAATGCAATATAACCGCAAACGTTGAAAGAAATCACATAGTGTAGTAATACATGGAAAAGGAGGAAGGAACATATATATGGCACTGTTGCCAGATTTACCAGATGCCGAACTAGTTCTCCATGGTAAAAACATGTTCTTGAACAGACTCAAACATGGGATTGGAGGAGGCACAACGACTTCTCTACAGGCGAATTGAAGAGGTCCAGGAACAAAAAAAAAAAATTAAAGAGAGAGAGAGAGAACATGAAATGAAAGGGATTGAAATAGAGGAGACAATAAAGTCTGTACCTATAGGATCATCAGTGGCCTAGGTGCTCTAACTTGATTCTCCATTTCTACCCCGACACTGGAAAGTACTCTAGTTAAACGACACGCGATACTGAGATCAAGATCTCAGACGAAACCCTAGAATGCAGCACAAGGGCGATAGCCACTGCGTGCCAGATTCAGAACATGCCTGCCTAACCAGCTAGAATGGAGTGATGCCCATGTTGGCTGCTGCAGCCGCCGCCGCCGCGGCATAGAGACCATCTTTGAGAAGTATGTCTTCAGCGCCATCCTGTATATCACAGCCCAGGAAACAGCTAAAATTAAGATGGGTGAATGCGTGCTTACAAAGTACAAAACTTTGAATTACAAAATTAAACTCAAGAGAAGCATATATATGGTAATGGAGTGTTGCTGATGGTAAATTCTCTGTCAAAGTGTCAAGTGAGGATTTGGAGGCATACAAATATACATCGAGTTAATAGGGTTTCAATGTCAGCTTTATTTGATACCTGAGTCTTGAAGGTCTTCTTGAGGCCCTGGTCCGGCATGAGGCCGAAGTGGATGTGTGGGAAATGGGCCCACTGATAATAAACACAAATGAGAGGAAGACAATGCAACATTAGTATAGAGTACTTCGAAGCAAATACTGAAAACGAACGCCTAGCTGTATCTGTATGCTGTGCCGGTGGGGCAGCAAAGCGCTAATAGCTTAAAGCTCTCAGTGGCACAGAGCCACAGCCCACACCCAGGCGCAAGCAGCCAGCACCAGACACAAGCTGTCGCTGTGTCCATGCTGACATTGTAAAGTGATGGGTCAAATCACAAGACACGCAGACAGCAAGCTAGCCACGAGTATAGTTGTTACTGCTGTGCGTCTGGGGAGGAAGAAGAAAGTTACATTCTTTGCGGCTGCGCTGAACGCCTCCCGGTGGGTGATGTCCGGGTTGCCGGCCTTGATGCGCTGGATCTCGTCCCTGTGTACGCAGCCAGCAGCACACATTTACTAGCTAGAAGACGATCGATGAGCATGCAGGATACGGTGGTGGTGCATATGATAGAGATAACTGGTAAAGGGGAAATGCATTATATATATATATATATATAGGGGAAAAAATCTTACTTGATGAACCGGTTGTATGCCGACGGGACTCTCTGCCTCTTCTCCGGAGCTGCAAAGTTAGATTTGTAGGGTTAGATTCGAATCAGCACAGCATGCATGATGCATCCGTAGGAAACATGGCCGAATGGGTACGCTTATCTAGAGCTAGCAGCAACTATTCCACTATGCATGCCGACTGTTTGCAACTGAAGAGCGATGGATATGGGCAACCTCTGGCTACAACAAGACATGATTGTATGTCTCGCTAGGCTATCCATCGATACCGATCGATAAGGTCCCATTTTTAAACAAACCCCCTATATATGTTCCATGGACACGGTGAAAAATGTTCATGCAATTTAACCTTAGCTTGTATATATTCTAACAGTGCACGCAATAAGAAGGGGTTGTCGTCCATCAAGTTTTAAGCACAAATTAAATGGTTGTTAGTATTCTTGCAGACTGCACGAACACGGTGATCTGGTGCCCCTACTCATCCTCTTTAGTTTCGAAATTCATTCCCTGCCCGATAACCACCCAATGCAAAGAACTGTAAAACAACATGATGTACGGGAAACTTTGGGCGGTGTTGTGCTCCCAGTCCCAGGAACAAACAGTGCGGTGCACGGCTAGCTTTCCCGAGTTCACCGCCTCCACATCACGCTTTTTGCTTTGAGTCTTTGATTAATGTAGTGATAAATACCCTTGTTTCGGAAAAGTAATGCAGAAAAAGTACCAAAAAAATAGAGGAGAGAGAGATAGAGAGAGTGGGGGATCAGTCTAGAATCCAAGGATCGGAAAAACAGAAAGAACAAGAAGTCCTTACGCCTGTTCACCGACGGGGCGGTGGTCTTGGGCAGTTCGGGCTCCTGCTGCACAGGCTTGGCTGCTGGCATCGGCGCGGCCGGCAGGTTGCTGGCGCAGCTGCTGTTGCTGCGGCCCGTCATGGTGCTGCTGCTCAGGTTGGCGCTCGCCTGCTCCATCAGGAGGCTCGGCGCCTGGAGCGCCAACTCGTCCTGCTCAGCCGCAAACAAGCAAGTTACACACACTCACTGATCTGATCTCAGTGGTCTGAGGCTGGCTCTGATGAGCGCGCTAGCTGCAAACTTTTGAGTACTAGATAAAGCTAACTAGGGATGACGAAACGTCGAAACTTAACATGCACTAGTAGCAGGTTAAAGTGTTAAACTGACTGAACGAACGAGTCGACCATACCAAAAGGCCATGCGGCGATGTGGGGGAGAGCAAGGAGTGACCGAAGTTGAGATGGTTGGCCGGCGGTGCGGCGGGCGGGAGCAGGAGGCCGCGGAGGTTGACGGAGAGTAGGTTGGCGCAGTGGCCGCAGCGCACCGTCACCGTCTTGAACAGGCTGCTGCAAGGCACGCCGACCTGCACGCAGAGAGACGAATTGAATCAACACAGAATAGATATGGATAATAACAAACCGTCAAGAAGCTAGCGGAACAAAGAAGAAGTGGATATGGAAGCGCGGTGTGTGTTGGTAGGTGGGGGTGGGGCGCTGGCTCGACGCCACCGCACGTACGGCGAGGATGGTGTCGCAGCAGTTGCAGTGCACGTAGCAGAGCTGCTCGGTGGGGGACGGCGCGAGGTGGTCCAGCGGGAAGGCGGCCGACGACGAGGACGAGGACGACATCATGATATGATCTCGAAGTAAGACCGAAATGTGGCAGCTAGCTGGTAGCAGCTCCCACCACCTCCACCTGAGGCGCTGACGCTGTCGTCGAGATCGATGGATCCGACGAGCGAGCTAGGAGTCGTCGAGGACTCGCCTTGTTGCTCGATCCGGCTAGGGCAAGGAACGGATCGCAGGGAAAGCAAAGGTAGCAGAAGAGCGCGCGTGGTGAGAGATCGGAGGAGGAAGGAGGCTGGGGGGAGTCTCGAAAGGGGAATTTTATACGACTAGGAGAGGAGGGGCAGGAGCCAGAGATATCCTTTTGGTCCCCTTTGATTTGATGAGTGTGATTTGATGGCTAGTTGCCTGTGGCCGGGCTGGCTAAACTTGCGATTTGATGGACCTGCCCGATTCGAGAAAGCCTCGGATCTGTCGTTGTTCCTGATTTGATTGAAAGCCGATCGAATGAAGCACGCAGCAACAACCAACCCAAACAAGGCTTCTCTTGCTTGCTACTACTTCTACTACTGCATGTGGATCTTGCCGCGAGCGGCGAGGGAAAGGCAGGCAGGCAGGGACGCGCAGGAGGAGGAGGATGCCGACGGCATGGGGTGTGGACCGCGCGCGGACAGTGTGGTGGATATATGGCCCTGGACAAAGGGAAAAGCGAGCGAGCAGGAAAGCGAGCGAGAGCCGTTGGTATATGTGACGGACTAACGGGCGGCAAAGCAACACGCCAAGCGCTACCTCCGCCTCGCCTGTCTCCGGCCGCGCACTGCAAACCGGCCGGTCGGCATCTCGAGACTGTTGGCGACAGTAAAAAGCGGGATGAGTGGTGGGGATCGCCCGGGCCCGGGCCCAACTGTGCCACGATGCGCGCGGTCTCCCTCCCGGCCCTCGAGCCCCCTGTGCCCCTGCCCGGTGCCCGGCCGCGCGCGCGATGCATCCATCCATCGGCCGCCGGCTCGCAAGGTCGTGCGTGCATCCATGCGACCGATCGGTCGTGCTGTACGTGACTCGTGCGCGTGCGCGGGATATACGGAGCAAAGCGACGGCCGGCCGGCCGGCCGGCGCACCGGAGTACGTGTGTCGTGGTACGCGCGCGCGCGTTCCCTTCGTACGCGTACGTACTCCTATACGTACTAGTACGTCTCTGTCTTTCTCATCAATGTGCCTGGACGCGTTGTGTCGCCGCGCAGGCCAGCAGAGAGAGCAGTCACACGTATACGTGTGGGAGCGGATCGATCGAGCGGCCGATCTGACCGGCGCGAGAAGGGCAGGTGTTTCGCATAACCGGGAGCGTTTTCGCGAGACAAAAGCCTGACCGTGGTCTGGCTCGATTTTCCTGGGCATGCATGGTACGGTACAGTGGAACCCAGGCTTAAATGGGGCCGAGAGACCAGGTACTTCCTAGCTATACGTAAAGGTAGTGACCTAGCTACCCCTTTGTATACGTAGTATGTGTATAGACTGTAGCCCGTCTCTCCGAGACATTACGGCTGACGATGGTATTACGACCGGCGGTGCAAAATTTGGTCTAAAAAACAACTCAATGTTGGGAATCCTATCTGCCCATCTCTTTTCCCCGTCATGAATCATGTTGTCGTTTGAAATTCTGTGGGATATATGCTTGCATATTAAGTCCCTTTTTTAGAAAATGGAAAAGACTTCTCGCTTCTGTCTCCATACACTATAGATACCACGTGTACATTATTACATAGTTTTAACGACATTGCTGATGAGTCAAGAAAAAAAAAAAAAAATGCAAAATTTATGCATGACAATGCACGATATTAAGTCTATACATTCTCTCTCCTTATTATATATTTTGGTTTTTTCTGGATTATTATGTAGGGCCTGACTCAAGATTACTCTTTGTGGCTTTAGATATAGGTTGGCTTAATAACCTTCTCGGCTTTTCTCAAAGCATAAGTAATCCTACAACTAACTTGGTGATTTCCTTGTGCGCTGCTATTAGTAAGTAATTCCAAATGATCTCTCTACGAAGGAACACACTATGTTAAGATATCAAAACAATGACGCGACCAAAAGTAAGCATGCCATTATTAAATCAAGAGTACAATTCATGAGTGGATATGGTAGAGAGAGTGTCATCCCTCCTAGTCATCCAACTCATAAGATGCTATTTTCGGGTCGTCAAACTTTCAGGTGTTATTTATATAGTTCCAAAGCTCAAGAAATGCCACTTTCACCAGATCTGCTACCTACGTTGGTGTGGCATGTTGACCATGCATTGACATTGAAAGCATCTAGGCCCCTAGTTGGGTTTCGGTGATTAATGACAATACGTGATTACTATGACTAATGTGTGTTTTACAGAGGCAATTAAGTTAGGTCATGGTAATGGAGATCGATTAGGGCAATCATAGTGGTCATGCCCCTACGATGGAAATCGTTTCGGTTTTCAAATGATGGACGACAAGGTTAAGGATTGACTAGTTCTAAGTGTCGTTGTGTTGAAGAGACACTTAGAGTAGTTTAGGACTTTGTTTTTTCTTTAGCCGTACTATTAAGGAGGGTATGGACGGGTAGCTTGACCTAGATGAGTCTAGTGAGTTAGGTGTGGTGCACACTTGCTAAATCTAGCACTAGGTAGCTCCAAAATAGCCCTTAGATTCATTGGAGTAAACTTCATTCACGCATGATTGAGAGTTGGAAGTGAATGGAGGGTCAAATACTGACCGGACGCTGGTTTCGGTGCGACCGGACGATGGCACAGAGTCCGGTCAGTTCATTTGACCAAGGTGTTTTCATCTAGTGCGACCAGACGCTGAGAGGTGAAGTGACCGGACGCTGAGGGCCAGCGTCCGGTCGACTCCAGTAAGATTCCAGAGAGGGAAAATCGTGACCGGACGCGTCCGGTCACACTTTAAACACTGGAGTTCCGGTCAACATGACCGGAGCGTCCGGTCACCCTGCAGAGGCACATAGCAGTTCGTTTTTCAGCCAGTGTTATAAATACCACCTCCACCCGTGTGTGGGGGTACTTTTGCTCATTTCAACAGCTGAGAAACACCTTAGAGAGTGCCAAGAAGAGCAAGGTCCTAGTGAGGTGATTGAGATTTAAGAATCCCAAAGAGAGCCCTCATTAGTGAGATCAAGAGTAGCAAAGTGTGCATCCACCCTTCTCATTAGGCTTGTCGTGGTCAAGTGAGAGTTCGTGCTTGTTACTCTTGGTGATCGCCATCACCTAGACGGCTTGGTGGTGATTGGGAGCTTGGTGATCATCCGACGGTGCTTGTGGATGACCCAACTCAAGTTGTGAGCGGTTGTGGGTGATTCACCGCGACGGAGTGTCGAAGAATCAACCCGTAGAGAGCACTTGATCCTTGCGCGGATCAAGGGGGAGCTACACCCTTACGTGGGTGCGGCAACGAGAACTAGTGGGGAGTGGCGACTCTCCGATACCTCGGCAAAACATCGCCGCGTTCCTCCTTCTCTCTTTACTTTGAGCATTTACTTCGAGCAATTCAATTCTTTTCATTTACATTCATAAAATTGCCATGCTAGAGTAGGATTGGAACTTAGGTTGCAAGACTCTTTGTGCGATAGATCAATAGAAATACTTTCTAGGCACAAATAGTTAATTGGGCTAACCGTAGGGTTTAATTATTGCAAAGAATTTTAGAATTTGCCCAATTCAATCCCCTCTTGGGCATCTTGATCCTTTCAGACATGACCTATCATATGGGGCCCACATGATGGGTCCATGTCTCTCCCCTCTTCTTAATTTCTCTCTCCTCCCTCTATTGGTGTCATCTGCCAATTGTGTTGGCACCCCTCCTTTTCTTCCTTGTCATCGTGCTCTCCTTTCGTCCATGACCCAACACTGTCCTATAGTAGCAACAACAACTAGAGCCAACCCTCATCCATCGTGGAGAAGTAGAGAGAGAGGATAGGTGGACCTGTCATGTGGGACCTCCATATGGCGGACGTCAATGGACACTCAACATGCCACACTACCATGTTATTGTAGGAAGTGGGTCAAGACCCATTTGGAATCCGAGGACACCTAGAGCAAAGTTTAGTAATCCAAAAGGGCATTTCTTGAATGACACTCAAAGCTAAGCTTAGAGACTCAAATAGTGGAATTTTCTAAGTTGAAGGACTGTGATGATATATACTCCCTACCAAGTTCAAGGACCGCTCATGAACTTTACTCTTAAATCTATATTGAAGGTCATCACCTAGGTACATAACCTATATGTCATTCAATTCAGGACCCGAGTAAGGCTCATCACTTGTATGATGTGTGAAAGTGGTGGATATTTAGTTTCTAGTACCGAAGTCATACTAAGTGCCTCATGGGCAATCCTGGGCATGCTATCATCCAAATCCAAGCATAGTTGAAATGGATATAATTAAAGTTTTTAAATGCCAAATTTCATAAATGCAGGCATAGGTAAGTTATGCCAGATTACACTAATTGAGCTAAACACTTGTCCACAAGATCAAAACGTGACTATTGGCACCAGTTATGCTAAATTACCAAAAGGATCGAATATAATAGCCCCAAGTGGTGGAGAGGGAGGTTGCATTAGGGCTCGAAGAATTAAATCAACAACCTTAATTTAGCGACAACTACTTCACCAACTTGCATGTTTAGGTACTAGAACTAAGTGAGATCACACTAAAGATCATCCTTAAGGCCATCACATAATGTCAAGTCCTTAGTTGTGAAAATGTAATACCATGAACTAGGGGCACACTATCAAATAAAGAATCCTAGAGGCACTCAAGAGCTTCTTGCAAACACAAGCGCACAACAAGATCAAGACGTGAAGTAAATGCAAGAAGTAAAGAGCGGACAAGAGTCAACTAAAAATTTCCTCATGGTATCGAGGTGTTGGAACACCCCATATTCAACGTTGATGCACCCTCTAAGGGTTAAGTAGCATTTGAGTCACCAAAACCTAAGATCACTAAGAGTATCCCTTCTCCATCTCGAGATGGCGGATCTCAAACCATGTACAAGCCACCAAAACTTGCAAGGCTCCCACAAG